CGGAAATCAACCCTTTTAAATGCCGCCGCTCAGTTTAGTTCGGTTCAGTTCAGTTCGGTTCGAGTAATTTTGTTCGAGTAACGTGTGTAATAAACAGGTGCCGCTTAATTTTCCCTTCCTGGTGCGATGTACCGGGGCTTCTCTTCAATAGACATTAGGCAAAGTCGTCCGGGCCCGCACACCCATGCCAAGTGGTGGGCGGAGCATATGTGCATTAATTTGAACCGCGATGCATTGATGTGGCCGATTAGTACAATGCGATATTTCAACTTAGCAAGTTAAACACAAACTCATTCGTCAATTTCCACTCAGCCTCCGTGCTTAACGATTCGGAAGTGCTCAAGCTGTACTCAAACCAATAACTTCAAGCATTACACAATGATTATTTTGACCTTGAACCACGATTCGTTAATTCGCGGCAGTGCAAGATTTGCCCAGATTTCTTTATTTAAAGGAATTGTTTTATATTTAACAAACACTCGGGTAAGGTTCAAAATGACCTCCCCCTTAAGGTTTTTCCAGAACTGTTTCCGAACGGCGCGGCATTCCTAGCCATACTTTGCGTGGTTGTAGATAACTGAATAGTGGATCTTGTGACGTAAGAAGCTTAGATGTACCTTCTAAGTTCGCTGACCCATAGCAGATCAAAATCATGCCATGGCTGCCAGCGAAGGGCATTTCTAAGGATTCGTTCTGTGTGATGCACCAGCAGCGTGCTAGACGAGGCCATACCCATCTGAAATAGTCTTTCCGACAATAAGCCAATCAAATTTAGAATTACAACCAATTCCATTGAATTTAGAATTCCTTCTCGGGTCAGCTATAAAGGCCAGACCAAGGTGAATACCTACCTGCTTTTTTCCACGACAGCTTGGTTTTATGCGGTAGGTTCCTGGTACGCATTTCGAATTTATGATTACAGGGACCTCAACAGACATGCTTCATGTACTTTATAAAGGTAGGACTAGGTCACTGATTTTAAATGACCTGGTCGACATTTCGTTTTAGAAAATACTGCGTAGCGTAATGCCTGACGTTTATTCAAATGGCAGAAAAGGAGCAGTCTCGTAGGCATTTGGTCACCTGGACCTCATGAAGATCAAACAAGATCACTGACCCCAATGACCTTCTGCTCAAAACAGATATCTAGCTTCACGGCAGTTGCCTGAGGAGGTCTGGGGAATCATGAGAGCACCAGTCTGGAGATCAACGTTGTTTGAATTCATTTGATCCCAAAGCCATGATTTAGGGATCTCAAACTTTGACAAAAGTAGGTACGCGTTCTGGTCACTCCACGCTGTAAACTTGGTGTCTTTAGTTGCCTAATTTTTTGAGATCTCGGAGGGACGAAATTGATCCTCCAACTAAGCGGAGGGTATTCAACCGGCCACGTGGCCGCGTGTTAAAGATCTCGAAGCAAGCATCAGATATGATCGAAAAGGCTCGCTTATTACTGGTGATACACTTGTAAATGGAAAAGACTGCTGAACACAGTACAATTTCTTTGTGGATTAAAAATAATCCTCAATACGTCATTGTTTGATTGCGTCATCGTCCTTTGCGCGACAATTATTGTGAGCCAATGTGCGGCCGTTACGTCTGGAAGCCGTTCTCACGAACGCCAGATATACACCACTTCCCAATTATATCTTTCTTGGCACTGATCGCCGCTTATACAATAGAATGGCATGATTTGAGTGGTGTTATTATGACGTCATGGATGCCTGGGCAATCTTGAGATAGTCTCCCCAAAAAAGTCTGCACATCTTTGCGGGCGGGAAGGTCAGAAACTAAAAAGGTTTAACTCTTGAGAAGGACAGGAGTGTGAACTCTACATAGCGATCTTCCAGATCGATATTTCAGTTGAAAACCCCATTCAAATATAGAACGCTCCCTTTAGTTGGCTAGTTTCAAAACAAATTTATCATCGACATACTAAGCTGAACAACGTAGAAAACAATTAACAGCACACAACAATGACATATCGCCAAATGTTGCACAAAAATGTAGCGCAAAACCTGAATTTGACCAACGCCCAAAAACCCACGGTTAGAACGAAAACACAAGCCGAGAGAATAGTTCGTGACGTGTACAGCACGCTTGATCTGTTATGAAAGAAATTTTCAAGTCAGATGTGGCCTGGACAATCGGCATATCGTGACCTGGCCCTTGATTAACCGAATAAAAAGTTAAAAAGCAACTGAATTGTTATCTTTGAGAAAAGCAATCTGTAAACATACTTTGATGTTGATATGCTTACTTTCCATGCTTACTAAATATACCCAACATTACTTTTTTAGTCTGACACCTACATCTTTACGCTGGACCAACCTATACACTTACGATTAGCGTTCCCGATGCTGCAACATTGCATAAGTCGGGTTTTGAAGAATGCGTCGCATGAGTAAACAAAATTGCTATGTTGACCATCATGCATGACTTGGCTCGGTCCCGTCATGACATCGGCACGTTAGTATGACAGTGTCTTGACTTGACCAAAGGTCGTGCTTGTGCTGACTCGATTGTCCTTACATTTGACCACCATATCCGCTTTTGCTGCGTTGGAAGCGATCTTCATGATTTCGATTTGTCTATTGTTTATACATATGAAAGCATTCCTTGCGGAGGTAACCGGGGCAATATTTGCTCCTCCCCTCCCCCCCCCCTCGCCCCCAATTAAAAGGTATTCGGGTGGAACGCTAATCAATCGCAAATTATGGGGCCTTGGGGCTGACCGTATGGTTTAGTTGGAGAAGAAATAACACCCTTTTTGCCACTCCGAACATATATCGAGGGTTACGATCTTTAAAGGGGGTGTCCCACATTTCTATGACATTTTTGTTTTACTTATATGGCCACCTCGAAGATCATTCGGAGCAGTTCACAGCTCTGTCCTTGACGGCAATCAGATATAATATTAACGCCCACTTAGAACTGGTGGTCTAATCTGAAGTAGAAACCCGAGAGTTATACTCTTTGGCGTTGATCGCCACGTGGCCTATGGAATGGCGGGATTTGGATGACGTTTGTGTGACTTCATCAATGCCAAGATGACTTTGAATACTCTCTCCGAAATACCCACCCTCATTTTTACAGGCGTTTAGCTCAGAAACCGAAGGTATTAAGAAATTCAGGGAAGTGAGCTACACTGAAAAGCATTCATAGGGACTACTTCAGTTCAAGACCCAACATAAATGTGAAACACTCTCGTTATGGTATTAACCCCCTGGTTTCTGAGCTTTTTGCCCGTGAAGATGGGGAAGTATTTCAAGTTCACATTAGCATTCATGATGTCATAATAACGTCATTCAAATCCCGCCATTTCATACGTCATGCGGCGATCAAGGCCGAGAAAAGTATAATGGTTGAGTAGTTCAAACCTGGCGTTCGTTAGGACGATTTCCAGATAAAACAGACGTCAAATGGCTTTCAATCAATGCTGTGTAAGGCACGACGATGCAATCAAACAATCACATATCGAGGAGCATATTTACTTATTAGAGAAGTTCTGGTGTGTAATGTGCAAAGCAACCTTTTCCACCCAAAATTATACAAATAATCATAAGTGACCCTGTTTCATTGCATCTCATGTTTGCTGCAATATCTTCAGATGTGGAACATTGCCTTTAATTCAACACCTGGTAATATCGGTGGTCAAATCGACCATCACCCTGTAAGTAATAAAAGTGGTACAATTTCCTGTCAATGAACGCAGCTTTTCGATATTCATCGCTTGAATCAGGTCTGGCTTCACTCAAAAGGAGTGGTGTATATCAATATTGGGTTTTGAACTGAAAAAGCCATCTGGAAGACCTTTCGATGCAATTCACACCACCACTCTTATGAAGGCCTAAATCCGCTCAGTTTCTGGGCTACATGCCCGTGACAATGGGTACAGTATTTCAAGGTTACCTTGGCATTTATGACGTCATTATAATGCCATTCCACGAGTCATGCGTCAATAAAGACCAATAAAAATACAATTGACAAGTTATTCATAACTAGCGGTTTGGGGCGCAATTTCCAGATAAAACAACCGTCAGTTGGCTCCCAATCAACGGCAACGTACGCTGACGTAATCAATCAATGACGTATCGGGGAGCATATTTGATAGGCAGAGAAATTGTGGAGTCTAATGTAGTCTGCGGACTCAAAAGTATACCAATGGTTTCCAAGTGAGCTTGCTTCATCAGATCTGATTTTTGCAATAAAACCTTCACATCGCAAACATTGTCTTGAAGGGAGCAGGTCGTATAATTTGGCGAAGGATCGATGCCGGCTCATATCTGTTATTTCACGTAACAGCTTATTAATCACAACTGAACATTTCTTACATTGCCCTAGGCGCCAGAACACTGTCAAGAATGCGAATGGTTCACTTACTGCCTGCCTGGAGTCGGCACTGGCGAGGACGTGCCTTTCTTGCTCACTGTCGGAAATAATGATGTGTATATGTCTGGATGTTAATTATCAGCTGGCATATCCATGCATTTAGACCCATGACCATATCAAACATATCCCGTGATTGCTTGATCCTGGTTTTTGGTATTGCAAACATGAAGGTTAGCTCAGTGACGGTCTGAGTTTGGTCTATGCTTGCTGCATTGGTTCACCTGGTCTTGCCACGGATTTCATCTGGCTTTCCACGAACATATTGTGCATGAATTGTCTTCTTTAACGCAGAAAACAATACTCGTGACACCAAACAGCAGAATTATATCATCTTACCTTGTAAACATAACAATACTGATGACAACGTTACACGGCAGGTTCGAAGACTCACGACACGTTACCGGCACACCACGGCCATGACCTGTTCCTATGTTGTGACATTCCGAGGCCACCAAGGCTGGCCTTTTGCTTCGGCTTTTGTAAGGTTCAGCTTTTGCGTACTGATGGCTGATTGGTTAACATAGCGGCAAAATACGACGTCTTAAGATGGTAGGAATATGATAAGAAATGAATTATTTCATACCAAAGGATGTGCTATGGCAGCAGGAGTTGGTCATTGTCTCCATTTTCTCGGCCATCGGTAAATCCCAGCATTTTGGACATATTCGGCGCGAAATGCATCGCCTTTACGCCATTCACATTGTACGCTTATGTGTGAAATGAACTAAAGTCAAACGAGTTGCATTTTGTATCTGATGTACACGATGCACTGTGAGACCAGTCTTACCAGCCTGCATGGCCATTTCATGCGCGTCAAGTGTTTCTGTGGCTTGCAAGGTTGCCATAGGTATAATCAGGTCTACAACAATACAAGTATCAGGTGCATTTACACCGAACTGAGACGGCGTGCACGATGCATATGCAGAAATGAATCACCATATTAGCAGTCAGCCATGTCAGTCCACCAATCCAACGACAGCAGACAAGAGTGCACTGTCAGGGTTCAGTGACGTAGAAGGAGCCGAGGGATGGCACAGTCCATCGTCCCTAAAGCTATCTTGTTTCAGCACCGATGCGCCCATACACCAAAGCGGACGGCCAGTGCTTTTTTTTAAACAGTGCATGGTTGGAACGGCAACAGCAACACTGTCAACACCATGTGTGGCACCGGGGCGTCCTCAGCCTGCCAGCAGGGCTCACTATTTCCCAGACGCTCCCGGAGCTCCTGCATACCCCGCCGGAGCCCCTGGCGCACCTCCGCCAGCTGCATGCGCCTGCCGAGGAGACGCGAACAAACCAATTGTCAGACACCACAACACGAGAGATCACGGCGTTGTTGCGATGGATGCTCATTTCTAACACTGCCCCTGGTAATGGGTTGCTGTTTGACAAGGCGAGGCAGGCTTTGACAGAGTTGAGAAACATCCCCGGATGATGATAAAGGCTTTTACACCAATCCTGTGGCCTGAAGCAAGTAATGTGTGTACACCCTCATGAGTCATTGAACAGTGCCGGATTTCGGTATCTCGGTACCCAGCTCTCACCGTGTTCACAACACCGGGGCCCGAATGCACATGTATGCAGTTCCTTCCGCCGCCACTGCCTCCGGCACCACCTGACGGTCGGGGCAGCACTGAGTGAACACCGAAATGCGGCCAGGTATTGCCGAGTTTAAGACATCGGAGAAGAATGGCTTCCTAAATGATGCTATTAGCCGTATATCGGTGTTCTGAATGTTTTATCCAAATCCATATTGGGGATCACTAGATATGCCATAGAACACGTTGACAAGCTGGAAATGCGTAGACATGTATAGACATGACCGACATGCATAGACATATCGGAAACAATGCTTTAAACATGTCACTCCATAATCCGCGTAAAACGGATACTAAAATAATCACATGATACCTGTTGTGGCAGTTGCTGTTGCGTAAAATATCTAAACATTTAAATTGGTATAGAAACATCCAAGAATTTCCGAGTTTCAGAGAATGTTCTTGTTCTTTTTTTACACAAAAGGCTGTTCACTACAACACATGCTCAGTATGTGGCAGTTTGAACACGAAAATTGAAACAATTATGTAATACATTTTAGAATAGTTCATGGTATTCCAAATCCTTTGCTCTCGTTAATTTGATAACATTTAGCAACTCAGATGTGCAAGCTACAATGCTCATGGCAAACAACGCTGGCCAAAACTATAAAAGTTGTAACAATGGTGTGACAGACGCATGCAGGAGCCGATAAAATGGCGAGGAACTCGATTGCATGCGTTACGCCACCACCCTTGGCGTAGGCTCCCGATAGTTCACAGTTCATAGTCCTAGCGGAAGCTGACCAGTTCATCATAAGGTCCATAGTCGTAACGGGAGCTCACCGTAAAGTCCATAACTGGACTGGGAGCTCACCATAGGGTCAATAGGCAGACAGGAAGCTCAGCATAAGGTTCATAGTCGGGTCGGGAACTTAACTTTGGTCCCATAGTCGGGCCGGGAGCTCACCATAAGGTCCATAACCGGACTGGCCCGGCTGTCCGTCCAAACAGCTCACACCGTGGCCGGTGCCGCCTCCGCTGCTGGCCGCCGCCGCCGCTCCGCCGCCGCCTGGACCGCCGGTGCCTCCATACACAATGCCACCCGGGTGGCCGGCACCCCCGTGCGCACCCGCGTACGCACCGCCGCCAGGGCCGCCGCTACCTCCATACACGCCGCCACCCCGGCCACCGGCACCCCCATACGCACCGCCGCCCGGTTGGCCCGCGCCTCCTGGGTAGTAGCCTCCTCCGCCGTGTCCCCCGTATCCGCCCCAGTATCCGTCCCCGTATCCGCCGTATCCGCCGTACCCGCCGCCGCCATTGCCACCGCCACCGCCACCGCCACCGCCACCGCCGCCACCGCCGCCACCTCCGCCGCCGCCGCCGCCACCTCCGCCCCCTGAAACAAAAGACGTCCGCGATGGCACATGGGTCAGTACCGACAATGCGTCTTCGATTCGAGGTGATATACTTCTCATAGTGCGTAGGTTGGAAATAGGTAGATATAAACTTAGCTTATCGCGATGCGATGTGACTATCGCTTTTTGACTTGGATCGATGACTTTTGGACGGATCGATGGATCGATAACTGACACTCTGCCAACATATTACTTCGGACTGCACTTTGCTGCATTCTGATATCTATAGTTGCATGCAGCTCAAATCCGAGGCATGTGACTGCAAGTTGCGTCAATTGCGATCACTTGGAATTCAGAACATCTTGTTTACAATGATCACTCGCGGGTCGTATGCGACGTTTGCAAGCTTGAGTGGTGTTCATCATCCCTTGACACAAGCATAGCTCATCAGCTTATCCGACTCGAACTCAAACGGAACATGTATGTTGCATCACCAAATGTCAACAAATGGATTCGGCCTTAATAGGGTTTATCCCGTGTCCAGGAAACCAAGGCCACACTGGCGCACACCAAAACAAACCGGCCTAGTTCCCCGGCGTTCCAACAGATGGCACTCACCTCCATACTGCGCAGCGGCGCCGGCCGCCACCACCAACACGGCCAGCACGATTCTCATCTTGAAATGAGTGCAGCGGCGAGCCACGGGCTCTCTTAAATATGCCCGCCGCTCCCTGAATAGACTGTGACGTGTTTGAAGGGAGGCTACTACAACCGGTAGAACATGCCGAATGGAAAGCAGCAGACGCAGCTGACATCTGGCGATGCATCGGCTTCGCTCAAGAGCATGGATTCCCCTGGCCTTGACTGGTTCTGGACGAGCGCCTCTGTTCGCAGCAAACGGCTTAAGACAGGCCTGCAGAACCGAAAAATTCACGCCCATGCCAGGTCGGATTGGCAGCTTATGCGCCAGCATTCTGTGGAATATATGCAGCCGGTTCGTGCAGAGCCGGGATTTCCCAACTTCTGCCCGCGGCTGGGAAAGACCGGGTGTGGGCCTCTCCGCTGTTATTGCTCCCACACGTGCACCAGGTCTGATTGAGGCGTCATTGTCAGTAAGGGCTCGGAACTGGTAGGGAACCGGCATGGAACGTAATATCCCAGTGGCTACATGTTTTCTTTCGGTTTGTTCTTTAGTCGGATGTTTGCTAGAACTCCAAACGAGAAAGGGAAGACCTCGATCGTTTAAGGTTGCAACATGTTATTCAGAGTTTTCGCGTACAGATGCGCCTATGCTCTTTCTTCAAAAACGTAGCACTTTGAGAGAAAATCACGGTGTTGTCTTATTGCCAACGCAAACCCGTTTGTTGTCAAAAGCTGGACGAGCGAAATTCAAAGCATTCGTCTCGGACGACGCTTTAACGCGGCATTTGTATTCCGAGAAAACTTGCACACCAACGACGCTCGATCTGTGCTTGCAAGCTGACTTTTGGTGTTAATTATTTGTTATGCTCATAATACTGTCACGAAATTACTATGTTTTAACACGCGCCCGGTTGGCCGTTTAGACACCCTTCGCTCGGGTGTGGGCGGGGGGTTCGAGTTGAACCCCCCTCAGAGATCTCGTGAACTAAGTAGGCTAGAGACACCAACTTTACAGGGTGTCTTGACCTATAAGCAAACTCACTTAGGTTAAGGTTTCAGCTTCCTAGGTCATGACCTTCAAGTCAAATAAGGTCAAACAAAGTCAAACTCCAGCTCGGTCTCCGAAGCGCCCCCAGAACCTAGGCACCTGTCTCTAAGCAAAAGGTCACAAGCCCATTTAAGGTCATTGACCTTGTTTGACCCCCTGAAGGTCATGGTGACCGAAATGATACAAGACTGTTCTGCGTTTTCATTTGAATAAGCGACAAAGATTGCGCTAGGCAGTATGTTCCTAAAACAAAACGTTTGACCCCGGTCGTCTTAGATCAATGGCCTGTTCTGATTTCTAAGAAGTCAACTGAAAATGTATAATGCAGTTCCTGCTGTCAATAAATTCGAAATGAGCGCCAGAAACCATCCCATACATCAACCCCTAGAGTAATAAATCAGGTTGGTTTTGAAATTGGTCTGGCCGTCATACCTGACCTTAGGTCAACGTAATTTGCTCATTCAATATTTGTGGTGCCTAAGAAAGCATCTCAGATATGCATGTCTTCGTCAAACACTCCGTTGTTGTATCAGATTGAACGATTCCCTAGAAATTGCCTTCGCTGAAACCATGGGCTTTGACCTGTCATAGGTCAGCGACCTTACAAGGTACATCTAAAATTTGTATCTCAAACGATTTGCTATGCAATTTTCAACAGCTATGCAAAATGTGGCGCGGCTACGCCGCGCCGTTCAAACACCATCCGGGAAAAGCCCTCGGGGGGGGGGGGGGGGGTCAATTTGCCCCCCCCCCGAGCGCGTGTTAGTGCAATCTGTTTTTCTTTAATGGTCTAAGATGTTAAAAAACGAAGTAGTTTTGTCAGGTTTCTTATATTACGTCCATGCCAACTAGAAATAGATGTCTTTGTTTGCTGAAGCATCCGTCACGAGCTCATAAGTTCCGCCTTTTGTGAATTGATTTTTTCACTACCGCACGGTCCTTTTTGCGATGGAGTTTTTCACTGCCACCCTAGTTCAAAAACGATTCTAGCTCCCTGGTTTTGTGTGTGCTGGCAACTTTATCACTTCCTTGCATTTCGCCCATCTAACCATAGCTACATGCACTTGTCATGTCTCCGGCGTTGTGCAAGTTAGGCAAGTTTTCAGCGTCATTCCACTATATGTAATATGTTCCTGTCGTGCATGTGTCATTACTTGCGTGAACAATATTTTTCAGTGAAGTAACTGATGGCCGAGGATGTTGCATGGCTGTGGAAGCAGAAGATGTGTTTGGATCTTTGTCACCTAAGTTTTGTGAATTCCCAAAAACTGGCTGAGCAGGTGATGTCATTTATTGGTTGTGTGCTTCGCTGAAAGATATTTGTATTTTGCATCATGTGTTTTTGGTTAGTCATATGTCAGATACAGAGTTAATATAAGAATGCGTGCTTGACCCATTTTCATAATGGAATTTCTTATGACAGCAGCAGGGATTGCAGTACAAAAACGGCATCATTGTTCAGTATGCTATGCCACAGTACAGCACTGAAATATTGTCACGATGACACTGTTGACCCGTGTCATTACAAAATGTACCACATTGGTAGACTGATCAATGCCAAGCCTATGAGATAACAGCTTATGAGTTATGAATAACTGGTAACAGTTGATTTAACAACGCCAAAGGACCATCACCAGCGAGAATGTCATTGCACCACAATGTTATATCAGGGTTAACTAGCAATTGCACTAAAAGTAAAAAAAGCAAGAAAATAATCACCTAGAAAAACATTCTTGGTAGCTGAAACTTGCCATCTTCACCATAGCAAAAACAATGCCTTGGCAATTAATTCATAGCCATGTTGCCGATTTATTTATTTTTGCATGCAACTGCATTTCCAGTGACAAATAATACAGAAACTACTGTGCACATCACATGATATCAACATCAGAACTACAGCACCGGAAAGGATAGGTCGGCAGTGCAGTGTTGACATCCTGAACAGTCCTTGAGAGGTTTCGGTAAGAGATTCATGAAACTTTTCAACAGTTTTCAAAGCATATCGTACTATGCTTTTAATAACCTGCTACTGGAGCTGGCGATTGCCACGTTGAGTATTTTAAACACCCCACCAAAGTTTTTCTTGCGGCCAGCACCAAGACAAAAAAAACAATAACGAAGAAACGAGCCATTCACTAGTCCGCCGCCCGACACAGCGCCCGCGGCGAGAAAAGCCGGTTGGCGTTAGCTTTCATGCGTTTCGGGGCATTCTTTAGGTCTGGCTGCCAGCTACTGCCTGATATTGCTGTCGTCACAAAACGTTTCCACGACGACATCAAACAATGACGTAATGGGGCGCATTTTGCCAGCTTTGAAATTTTGGTACTTAGGGTCGTTTTGGAACATTGAAAGCCTACCAATAGTTACAAGTGAGCTTTTCCCATCAAATTTCATGCTCTTCTCAATATCTTCAAATGTGGAATATTTCCTGTTTAGCTGGAAAACAGGACTGGGAGGTTTGGTTAGCGAGGCCTGGCCATGCGTCAGCCATACTCCCCCCCCCCCCCCCTCCCTCCCCGGACGTGAGCGGCCCGGCAAAGGTGCTTTTCAGCCTTACCCCACCCTGACCTGCTGGGCTGGGCTGGGCTGGGGAGGGCGAGTACGAGGGCGAGGGCGAGGGCGGGACGGGGGCGGGAGCGGGAGCGGGAGCGGGGGCTGGGGCTGGGCTTGGGCTAGGGCTGGGCCTGGGCCAGGGCTCGCGCCCGGGCCTGTGCTTGGGTTAGGCTGGGGCTGGGCTGGGCAGGGCTGCTGGCTGGCAGGGCTGAGCTGGGCTGGGCAGGGCTGAGCTGGGCTGGGCAGGGCTGAGCTGCTGGGCAGGGGCTGGGCTGGCAGGGCTGGGCAGAGCTGGGCTGGGCTGGGCTGGGCTGGCTGGGCTGGGCTGGGCTGGGCTGGGCTGCTGGGCTGGGCTGGGCTGGGCTGGGCTGGGCTGGGCTGGGCTGGGCGGCTGGGCTGGCTGGACTGACTGGACTGGACTGGACTGGACTGGACTGGACTGACTGGACTGGACTGGACTGGATTGGGCTGGGCTGGCTGAGCTGGCTGAGCTTTGGCTGGGCTGGGCTGGGCCGGGCCGGGCCGAGCCGAGCCGAGCCGAGCCGGAGCCGGAGCCG